CGGCTGTAACTGGAGCTTAACTGGTAAATGCCTGAAATTCCAGGTTAATAACCCAGCGCGGGGACAAGGCGAGGGCTGTGTGCGCGGCGGGAGGTTGTCGGCTTAAGGGGGGGGCTCGGGCTCGGCCGCAGCACCGATTCCCAGCTTAGTGCCGAATCAGCTGTGCCGAGGGACAGCGGCTCCGGAAGGAAGGGCCGTGCCGTGCCGCCCTGACGGCCTCTCGCCCTCTCTGTCCCCCCTCCACCAGATAAAATCTGCGACCAGATCAGCGATGCCGTCCTGGACGCCCACCTCAAACAGGACCCTGACGCCAAGGTGGCCTGCGGTGAGTCGCTCCCCAGGGACGTGGGGTGACGCCGGCGCTGGGGGGGATGACGCCGGCGCTGATGTCCTTCTCCTTTCCCTCAGAAACGGTGGCAAAGACGGGGATGATCCTGCTGGCAGGGGAGATCACATCCCGGGCTGCTGTCGACTACCAGAAGGTGGTCCGGGACACCATCAAGCACATCGGTTATGACGATTCCTCCAAAGGTACGTGCCCCGGGGGGGTCACCGGCTCGCTGCCGGCACAGGGTTCGGCATGCCCGGCTCACCGCAGCCTCCGCTCTGCCCCAGGCTTCGACTACAAGACGTGCAACGTGCTGGTGGCCCTCGAGCAGCAGTCGCCCGACATCGCTCAGGGCGTCCACCTGGACCGCAGTGAGGAGGACATCGGCGCCGGGGACCAGGTGAGTCCTCGTGCCCGCGTGAGCCGCTGCGGTGTTTGCCGGAGGAATCGTGGCTTCATCGCCGCCTCCCTCTGCCGCAGGGCCTGATGTTCGGCTATGCCACGGACGAGACGGAGGAGTGCATGCCTCTCACCATTGTCCTGGCCCACAAGCTGAACGCCAAACTGGCCGAACTGCGGCGTAACGGCACCTTGCCATGGCTTCGCCCCGACTCCAAAACGCAGGTGAGGCTCCCTCAGGGCTCCCCAAAACCCCTTCGCTGAGTCCCCAAACCTCTCTGACCCGCTGTTTTTCCCGTCCCTGGCAGGTGACGGTGCAGTACATGCAGGACCGCGGCGCCGTCATCCCCATCCGGGTGCACACCATCGTCATCTCGGTGCAGCACGACGAGGAGGTGTGCCTGGACGAGATGCGGGACGCGCTGAAGGAGAAGGTCATCAAAGCAGTGGTGCCAGCCAAGTACCTGGACGACGACACCATCTACCACCTCCAGCCCAGCGGTCGCTTCGTCATCGGCG